TGTATCTGTAATTTTCTCACTAGTGCCAAATGAATGCCTTAGCTACTCATAGTGCATGGTACTGTAAGTGAAGACCTGCAGCTTTTTTTTCTTTAATGAAAAGCATTATAATGATGTAACAGCATCAGATATAAACTTAAAAAAAATAAGGTTTTAATTAACATTTTATCTATGGATAATGCTTTGTAAAGTATAAGAGAAAGGTTGCAGTTGGATCAGTATAAAACAATGACCAAGCCAAAATCGGCACCTAGGGCCTTAAATAAAATAGAAATACCCCACAAAATGAAATATTTTGAAGGGTGGGAGGGGACCGAAGGGGGGACTTGCCCCCAAGGATGCAAGATACTTTTTACAGTTGTTGGTATACTTTGTGTGTCTTCTTGCTTCAGTTAGGAACGTTTTGATGGTAAATTCTGTCATGGTAATAGATTTGTATTTTCCTAACCTGAGATTTTACAAGGAAGGTTTTTAGGATGGCTTAAAGGGAGGTATTTGAGTGAGCCCTAATTTGAAAATTACCAAACTTGATCCTCCTGGTATGAATCAAGGAAATACTGTACCTTGCTCTTAGCAACTCTCTGTGGCCTGCAAGAGAAAATGTACTTCTTCAAGGTGAGTGAATCATGCTTTTTCCATGGTTCAGATCAGACCCTTTATTTTTCAAACTACAAGGCCTACTTATTGGACAGTCTGAGGAATAGCTTTGATACTTGGTATTCAGTTGGTTCCATTATTAATGTATATTATTTTTATTTAAAGATCAAAACTTAAACTATCAGATAATGTTGCATGTTTTAAAAGCACATTTCATCCCTTTGGCTACCCAGGACCAGCACTATTTAAGACACTGCTTATTTATAAAATGAGGATAATGATTATATGTACATATTCAGACATCAAAATTTAATGACATTCTGTTTTTGAGAAGGGAAGACAATGCTGGAGAAAGTAAAACTGTTGACTGAAATGCTGACAGGTTGGAGGACGAATTTGAAGACAGTGGAATAAACTATGAACTATGCTAATGGTAATTAGATTTTTTTCCTTTGTTTAGTATAGTAGTAAATTGTGTAGTATCTTGCTGAGAATCTATCTTGTAAAATCAATCCAAATGCGTATTGTGAAACACCTGTATAAAATCATTCTTGAAATAAGTGATCTACATGCCTGTTTTTTTAAAAAATGTTTTTAGTAGAATTGTTTTAAAATACTGTGTTTAGCCAGACCCTTCCCAAACTTAATTTTTTTTTTTTTTAAAAAAAGGAAAATAGGTAAGAAAATGATAGTTCTATATCTCAGCCCTCCGTGAACTCAGGCTGTCTCCATTTTGCAGCCACTTTGGTCATTTGATGTTTACTGTTGATATACTTACGCTTTGAATTGTAACTTCATTGATGGTATTATAGATCTAACCAAAACTTCTCTGTCCTGTTTAGTAATTGTCATATAAATCTGGATGAGTTAGGGAGGCCCAGGTGGATGTTTTCATTTGCAAATCATGAGAAACTTAAGTGGGTTTTATGCTCTGGATAGAGTTGGCAAAACCGAATTACTGAGTTTAGGTTAACAATTTAACTCAAGACATGGGCAGCAAACCCCTCCCCTCAATTGATAAAGAAGGGGAAATATTTTCTACATTAGAATTGACACTGACAACATAGCTTTTTTAGTCTACCTTGGTTGCTCTAGTAGGCCACAGCCCAACCACTTTAAGGTTCTTTGCTGTGGGAATTTTACGTAAACAAAACTCCAAAGCAGACCATCTGTAAGCTTTGGTCTTGCTTGTTTCTGAGAAGGGTTTTATTTCGTTATACTAATAGTGGACTAATAATTGGTAACTGTGAGAACTTAGGTATGATAGCATTGTTTGAAGTAACATTTGATTTGGGGGCAGCAGCTTTCTAAATACCAACTCTATTTGACAAATGTTTTGAAAATTAAAATTTTAAGGGAGCAACACCCTGTTAAGAGTTTCCACCATAGTTGAGGCAGCTACTTTATGAATAAGACCACTTTGGGTTATTGAAGCAGAAGCATTTCTTTTTTTTTTTTTTTTTTTTGGAATGGGGTGGGGTGAGGAGTGAGTTATTAGACCTTTGATTACAGTTTGCTGGTTTAGAAACAGCCTCTGGCTGAATTAGTGCGTAGATGGATGAAAGTATAAAGGACTTGTTTTTATGGTAGATTTTCTGTAAGAATCTTAAATGTTCCTTTTCAGGTTAGTCAGATGTGTTGATGCACACATGACTTCTACTTTTCTCACTGACTATACTATAACATTAAAAAGGGGTTAAAGGAAACAAAACTCTGCCTTTTGTGCTACGAAACATTTAGTCCAGAGGTTTTAAGCTGTGTGTCCATTCCTACTCTGAAAATGCATAGCTTTGTTCTGGATGTCATCTCTTGAAAGTAGAAAACTCCTATGTGTATATCACATTGCGGGGCTTTCTTAGGTATTTCTGGCAGACTTGCCCAAATCTTTAGATGGGCTGGGTTGTACAGCATGCCCCCCCCCGCCAAGTATCGGGTCTGAAATACATACTACACTATCGATAGTGGAGATATATTCATTTTTTAAACTGTAAAGTAAATGTGGTCTCTAGTCTAGGTTTGTGGTGTGTACCTTTGTGTTAATGTGTAGGGAAGGGATAGTGACTTGATGGTTATGGGGAGTGTATCTTGATGTCCATACAGGGGTGAGTATTGCTAAATTATTAACAGCTTTTATCTAGAGTGGGTCATGTGATGAATGGCCTAATCAGAAAAATGAAAAGGGCGAAGATGCAAGCTTGCCAAGTGATGAACAAGGTTTTCTATCTATTTTTTATCAGGTGTTATAAAACTTGTGCATGGCTTTTCTTGTTGTTGCTTAGTAACTGGTAGAGAAGAAAAGATGAGGGAAAAAACTCAGCTTTCCTTACCAGTCTTTTCAGAGGTACGTAGTTGGGGAGTAAAATCTGACTGGCCTAATTGATGGAAAAGACCCTGTCCTTTTCACCCCATCCTGCAGTCCTCCGTGTAGAGGGACTGCATTGTTGTATTCTAGTAATTCACTGTGATTTATAACAAACCAGTGATGTCATTCTATTGTGCACTTTTGTCAAACCATTTATGTGACTTTAATAAACATAGTAAACTCGCTGACTGCACCAGAGGTCTATTAGTGATTCATATATTGCATGACATTTTCTATTTGAGTTTGACATGTAGAGTCATTTTTAGTTTCAAGGCAATTGACAGTCCTAATAGCTCAGCTAATTTGAAACTAACAATCTTGCTGTGTAAAAGGAAAAAATGGTGTTTGTGTTCAGTAAATGTTTGAAAAAAACTACTTTGAGGTTTGTGTCTTTATTATTCAATGTGCCTAAGTTGCGATGTTCTTTTGTTGAATTCCTTAAAAAAAAGTCATCAAAGTTATATATGTGCATGGGAAAAAATTCAGATAGTAAAGAAAAATTCAAAAATATTTTTTAAAAGTTCCCTTCCCATCTCTCCCCGCCTCCCATTTGGACTCTGCAGAGAAAATCACTATTAATAGTTTTTTGAGTAGCTTCCCAGAATGTTTCTGTGCACATATGTATTATTTCTTCTTTTCGTTAAAATGCAAATGAACGTCTACCTTTGCCACACTATTCTGCATCTTATCTTTTTCGTTTAGTATATCTTAGGCATTTTCCATTTCTAAATGTGTAGATTTTTAAAACAATAATTTTATAGCATTTAATTCTGTTGACAGACTGAACATTTATTTAACTAGATCTTATTGATAGGCTTTTAGGTTTTCAGCTTTTGATATTTCAAATAATGCTGCAGTGAATGTCCTTATGTACAATACTTATAGGACAGATTCATTCCTAGTACTGGAACTTGGTTTACTTACTACTTAAAATCTTGACAGAGGTTATCAAATTGCCTTCCATCTCTTTACGTCTTTACTGCCATCAGATATCTAATCATTTACTTTTTACAAAGTTGTGATTAATGAAAAATATTTCATGGTTTGATTTGTGTGCCCTTATGAATAAGGTTGAACACTTTCATAAATTTATTGACTATGTTTGCTTCAGGGTTTTTTTTTCTTTTTTCGTTTGCATCACTAACCAGTGTTCATTATTTCAATTTTTTTTTTTTTTTTT